TGGCACTGTGGTCCACTTTCAGAAGATGAATTCGGGTATGCTATTCAAGAAAATTACTATGCAACAAAAAAGTTCAACTTTGGACTATCAGAGGATCAGGTTTGCTGCTTTACAAAAAAGTTAGACTTTTATGAAGTGAAAGCAAGGATGATTATTAACTTCTCTTTCTACTTGGTGTCTTAGGTTTACAAGCTTTTGTAACTATTCAGTTTGAGAAAGTTGAAGCCTCAGAGACATTTGCCTAACACAACTGCTTTTACTAGCGATTCCAACACACTACTAGCAGAATCTTCTGTTTATAATCAACTTAAGCCATTTTTAGCATTCCGTTACTCAATAGAGCCGCATGTCAACACTCTTTCTAACTCAACATCTGTAGGACTTGCTGTTCCCTATGATCCAAATGCTCCTGGTGTTGACACTAGGCATTTATCTCATGAGTTCATTGCCCCTTGTATTGACACTAGACACTCATCATCTCACGACTTCGTTGCCCCTGGAGGTGACACTAGACGCTCATCATCTCACGACTTCGTTGCCTCTGGTATTGACATTAGACACTTATCACCTCATGACTTCGTTGCCTCTCTTTATTCTAATTTTGGTTACTGTGTTCCAGTGTTTTCCCCCAATTATTATGAGCTCTCAAGGAGAGCTAGGATGCCTATATTGGAGGTTACTTATTCTGAAAACATGGCTTCAAACAATGGATATATCGACATGATTAGTGAGGCTCCTACTTATGCTTTTAGTCTTAGCCACATTCATTCCTTTGTGTTAGATGATAAGTATCACGAGGCATCATGAGAGAAACATGATTATGAAATGCTGCAATATGGAATTAATGAAGTGCACGTTGCCAATGTTCCTATGTTAAAAGAAAGTCGGAGCCAGCTTCAGAATCATCTTTGTTCTGTCAAAATTAAAAGCCCAGACCTCAGGTTAATTCTTCATCAAAGCCCGACATCGACAAAACTTCTGGAAGCCTAAATTCTGATTATAGAAAGAAAAGGGAAAGTGTGCTTTCACGGTTAGTTGCGGCTTCAAAAGCAAGGGTCGAAGAAAATGATACCCTTCTTGGTGATAATGAAGACAGTATGGATACTTCAATAAATGAAGTCATGTCCTTGCTTTACTAGAGTTGCTGCAAATGGTTGAAAATGAGAAAGAAACAATTTATTGAAAATGATGCTTCTAATCTTTGGAGGAAGACACAGACTGCCTTCAACTCTCAATCATCGAAGAATCACTTCGAGAGGATTTCAAGGGAGGTGAAAATGAGTGACATTCGAGCCAATAAAGAGAGTAATGAATATTTTGTTGAGAAGACATCTTTTGTGGATTTCAGTCGTTGTAGTGAAGTGCGGAAAGGTACTGAGACTGCTAGCTGTAGTCGGAGTGTAGAAAGTGACGGCTTCGAGTGGGCTACATAAAAGAAGGAAGTTGATTAGGCTAGATTTCAGCAAGAATGAGTTGTCTGATGTCAAAAGCATCAATACTAACACTCCAAGTGTTTTATTGCCAGATGTATCCAGTCAAATGAGTCATGCAGACAAGAAGATTATAGAAGTTGAATTGGACTCAAACTGCAAAGTAGTAGAAATGGGGAAAGCTGCACCTCCTGATATATTTGATGAAGATGGGAAAGAATTGATACTAAATATTGGCATCCGAAGCATGCCATCTTCATTGTCTTGTGAAGAGAAGAATAATATTATTGAGCAAGGTCCAATTTTTAAGAGTTCCATGTTGGATGGATTGTCTCAAGATCTCTGTAATATGAGCCATTGTGTTGGGCAGGAATCCTCTCTTGAAACTTGTAAAAGAAATTCTTATGGGATTACTTCTGGTGAAACTGAAAGCTGTAGAGGCAATGAGAAGGAGATACACCCAAATCCTGACGTTGACTGTAACATTGCCATTGATATGGTGACTGACTCAAGTGATCAGAATCCTATGTCAAAGATAACAATCGATGAACTTGTGCTTGATGGATGCAAAGACTGCAAAATGGATTTGCAGCAAAATGTTGAAACTTGCAAAAGAGATTCTAATAGGATTACTTCTGGTGAAACTGAAAGTTGTAGAGGTGATGACAAGGATATGCACCCAAATCCTGACATTTATTTTAACATTGCTATTGATATTATGACTGACTCAGACGATCAGAATGATGGATTTGTGCTTGATAGATGTAAAGACTGCAAAATGGATTTGCAGCAAAATGTTGAAACTTGCAAAAGAGATTCTAATGGGATTACTTCTAGTGAAACTGAAAGCTTTAGAGGTGATGAGGGGGAGATGCACCCAAATCTTGACGTTGATTGTAACATTGCCATTGATATGGTGACTAACTCAAGTGATCAGAATCCTATGTCAGAGACAACACTCGATGAATTTGTGCATGATGGATGCAAAGATTGCAAAATGGATTTGCAGAAAAATGTTGAAACTTGCAAAAGAGATTATAATGGGATTACTTCTGGTGAAACTGAAAGCTTTAGAGTGATGAGAGGGAGATGCACCCAAATCCTGATGTTAATTGTAACATTGCCATTGATACGATGACTAACTCAAGTGATTAGAATCCTAATTTAGAGACGACACTCGATGAACTTGTGCGTGATGGATGCAAAGACTGGAAAATGGATTTGTAGAAAAAATGTTGAAACTTGCAAAAGAGATTCTAATGTGATTACTTTTGGTGAAACTGAAAGCTTTAGAGGTGATGAGAAGGAGATGCACCCAAATCCTAACGTTGATTATAACATTGCCATTGATACAGTGATTGACTCAAGTGATAAGAATCCTAAGTCAAAGACGACACTCGATGAACTTGTGCTTGATGGATGCAAAGACTACAAAATGGATTTGCAACAAAATGTTGAAAATGATATTGAAGTTCTTTCAAGTAGTTGCGAAATCAACGCAAGGAATTTCCAGACAATCTCGAGCAACTAGAACTCAAGGTTACCCCACAAAATCAAGTACTTGCTGCATTTGGCAAATGCGAGGACATGGTAAATATGACATGAAATGTCTTCGTATTACGCATGGTAGTTTAAAAAGTTTATGATTTGGACAGGACATTTTTTTTTTCGGGTTTTTGCATCAGGTACTTGAATTTCATAAGGGTTTTATTTTTTTATTATTAAAAAATACTCTATGGTTTAGTTTTTCTGTTACCAAAAGAAGATTGAAACATGAGGAATATCAATAATGCCTATTCGGGAGAACGACATTTTCCCACCCAAGGTTTAGCAAAACAACACTTTCCCATCCGTTAAGTTTCAAAACGACACTTTCCCACCCATGTTAAGATCTATCAGTCAAGTTTAACTGAAAAAGGATATAATAGTAAATCCAAAAAATATTTAAAGGATAATTATGTGATTTTATCCTATATATATATATAGGAAAAAAAACCATTTCCAATTCATAAAAATATGCTAATACCCTTAAACATATTCAAAGATTATATAAAACAAAGCACGAATATACAACATAAAACATGCAAAATAAAAAGAAAGAAATCACCACCAAACAAAGAGTCAAAAGACAACTCTAGAACAGTGAACACCAGTCCTTAATCCACCTAAAACTCTTCTTGAAAGACACTTTAACTGTAACTTTGCCTTCAACAGTGTAAACCTTATAGCTAGCAAACTGCTTCTTCCTCTGCAACTCTAGATCAAAACTCAACTTCTTGAAGAAGACCCATTTGTTGACTTTCCTTTCTTGAACAGGCATCATTGTTTTGGGGTTGTTGAGTTTGTGGAGGTGGCGGAACTAAAGATCTTGCATTCCATTACCATTGAGGCTGGTCCTGCTATTGTTGTTGTTGGTCCATAGTAATTGTCTATCACCATTCTTCCATCACTGCATGATTTGGATATGAAATCTTCCATCATGCTTTTTAAACAAAAACACCAATGTGGATTTTGAGCTATGTGCTCTACATCAAAATAAAATAGTTGGTTGGATGCAATTTGATCAGAATCTCACCAGGGCGAGTGCGATTCGACTGAAATTGCACGCCACCTGGTGCGATTTGGATGGAATCGCACCCGGCCAACAATTTTTTTTTTTTTTTTTTTTAGCTTTTTTGATTTTTGTGTAAGAAGACTCTGGTGAGAAGGAAAGTGGGAGAGAAACATGAGGAGAAAAAAAGAGAAGAGAAGAAAGAAGAAAGGTGTAGAAGAAGAAAAGATGAGGAGAAGAGAGGTGGCGAAAGAGAAAGAAGAAGAAGAGAGAATGATATTTTTGTCTTTACACGGTTTATACAATGGATTTTCCTAACGGAACAAAACGGTGGGTGGGAAACTGTCATTATGAAACTTGAAGGTGGGAAAAGTGTCATTTTGAAACCTGGTGGGTGGAAAAGGAAAACAATACAGCCACCGACGGTAGTGCACCGAATTTGTGCATTGAATGACGTGTCAAAATCCCGACTGTTGATTAATTTTAACTTAATATTAATCAACGGTCAGGATTTTGTTACGTTATTCGGTGTACTACTGTCGGTGGCTGTAGCATTACTCGGATGGAAAATGTCTTTTTGTCAAGCCTTAGGTGGGACAATGTCGTTCACCCTGCCCATCCCATTGTTTTAAGACTCCCAAGTCCCAAGTTGCAAATGAGAGTGTTAAAATTGGAGATGATATATTGAATATTGATACCAATTGTATTATTTTGTGATCTAATCATCCAATTCTCTCCTGCACCATATATAACTAATATAAATATTGAATATGAATAATATATTTCAATCCAATAAATCAAACATCAATTAAAACCATAATCGTAATGACTAATATATTGATGTCCAACAAACGTAATGGTTAAAGGGAAATAAGAAAAAAAAAATTAATATCGTGAATTTCGCATAACTTTAACTAAAAACAGAAAGCTGTATTTTAAAATAAAACATTTTTGAAAATAAAGTAAATGTTAAATAAAAGCATTTCCGTTTGTTAAATTCAACAGCTGAAGTGGACAACGAGCTCCAAATCTCAGGTCACTTCTCTCTCAGCAAAATCACACCGTCATCATGTCCGTTACTGTCACCATCTTCCGGCATCTTTAGCGGCGGAAATGCTACGAACTCTCAGATCTCGTCGCCGGCCCCGTTACGGCGCACACGTGTGCGCCTTTATTGCCGCTCTCCTCCTCCTTCTCTCAGTCTCTCTCCTCCACACGCGTCTCTCTCAACCGCAACACCTCCTTGATCGCCCCAAGCCTCTGCTAAATGACGGTGCCTCCGATTTTGAGGGCTCTAGTTCCTCCATCGAGGACAAGATCGACGAACTCGACAACGTCGATGAAGGACAAGAAAACGACGCCGTGGATGCAGATACTCATGATCAAGTTCACGACCAGCGTAAGGTTTCTTCATCTGGCTATTATTTCGATCACGTGGCTGGATCAATCAAGCGTGCGTTTAATAAAAGATCAATTGATGAGTGGGATTTTGATCACGTAAGTTTTAATAGTGTTAGTGATTTTAGTGTAGAGTCGAGTGTAGAGGATAGTTTTAAGGGTGTGTTTGGATCAGATGATGTACCGGTGGATGATGAGGTGAGGAGGAAGATGATTGAAGTGATTGGAATTGAAGATGCCTTGTTGTTGAAGGTAGGGAAGAGGGTTTCACCGTTGAGAGAGAAATGGGGCGAGTGGTTCGAGAAGAAGAGTGAGTTTTTGAGGAGGGATAAGATGTTTAAGTCACATTTGGAGGTTTTAAATCCGATGAATAATCCGTTGTTGCAGGATCCAGATGGGGTTGGTGTTAGTGGACTCACTAGAGGTGATAAAATTGTGCTGAAGGGGTTGTTCAATGAGTTTAAGCGTGTACCGTTTATTGGGAAGAAGCCTCCGGGAGTTGGAGAAAGTAGGAAGAGTGAGATTAAGAGGGCGGAACGGCGGACTTTGAAGGATAATGCAAGTAATGGAACACATAGTAGGGGAGTGAATGATGATGGCGAGGAGAATTTAAGCTTAATTGCAAATGTGAATTTAGTGAATGAGAGTAACAGCAATAAGGTAAATAAGTCGTATGAGGAATTGAGCAATGAGAGTAATAAGAATGATAAGGTAGTGGGAAGTTCTGAGGGTTATAAGAGGAAGGATGAGTTCTCGAGTCATGTATATGCTGATGGAAAAAGATGGGGTTACTATCCTGGTTTGCATCCTAGGTTGGCTTTTTCAGGTTTTATGGATGCCTTCTTTAGGAAGGGGGAGTGCGATATGCGGGTTTTTATGGTGTGGAATTCACCTCCTTGGATGTATAGTGTCAGGCACCAAAGAGGGCTTGAGAGTTTGCTTTTCCATCATCGAAATGCTTGTGTTGTGGTGTTTTCTGAGACGATTGAGCTTGACTTTTTCAAAGACAGCTTTGTGAAGGATGGGTAAGAATTCAGAATATGCCTTCTATTTATTACATTTATTTGTTGATTGATAATTTGTTGTTGATTGAAGAACTTTTTCTTCAGTTACAAAGTTGCTGTAGTCATGCCAAATCTTGATGAACTACTGATGGATACACCTGCCCATATATTTGCTTCTGTCTGGTATCAATGGAGAAAGACAGAGTTTTACAGTACTCACTATAGTGAGCTTGTTCGGCTTGCTGCTCTCTACAAGTAAGCTTGCTTAATTGCAGATGCATCTTTAATGGATTTTTAGTTCATGTTTTGAAAATTTGATGTTACCTTTGGCCGTTTACTGAAATATTTGGTTGGTTTCTACTAAATATCAATGTGCCCTGAGCTCAAAAAAAATATGTTGGATTTTGCAGATATGGAGGTATCTACATTGATTCTGATATTATAGTTCTGAACAACTTGTCTTCGCTTAACAATTCTGTTGGTCTGGAGGAGCAACTTGCTGAAAGTCCTTTGAATGGTGCTGTGATGGCATTTAGGAAGCACAGGTAGTCATGGTTTTCTCTCTTAGTCAGTGGAAAATTTGCTACTTGGATGAAATAACTTTGGCCTCTTTTATAAAGCTATTTTGAACTTTGTTAATTGTTATGTGTGTTACGATATCTTCTAGGAGCCTGGGGATTTATTGCAGCCTTACTTCTATATAACCAGTATTTTGTGGAAATTCATTGAACTGAGAAAAATCTTTTGGAATGGTTGTACTTATTTTCTGGTGTTGTATATGGCTGGGATGTCTTAGTTTTGTCATAACTTGGTCGGGGAGAATGGCATGTAAAAGCTTTATCTTTCTTTGCATTTACTGCACTTCCTATATTTAAATTTCTGTTTTCCATTCAGTCCCTTCATATTGGAGTGCTTGAATGAGTTTTATATGACATACGATGATACCCAATTGAGATGGAATGGAGCTGATCTTTTGACTAGAGTTGTAAGAAAGTTTTGGAGTAAAGAGAATACATCTCTCAAACAATTGGAGTTGAAAGTACAACCCGCTTTCATTTTCTTCCCTATCAGTTCACAGAATATCACAAGGTAGTCTTCTGAGTTCTTTATTATCTATTGCCTGTAACCTATATTAACGCACATATTCAACATTAAACATATTGATCATGGGAAATATTTTATAAGACAAATTGTCTATGACTGATAATGAAAATTAAAATCAATATCTTGTGAAATGTGGTTCTGCATGTACTTTTATTTATATGGTTTCTATTCTACTCAAATCCTTTCTTCGCAGCTTAATCCCTTTAAGTATCAAATAAATACCTGCTTGCTTTTGATTTAACTTACCCTTGTATACCTCCTCATTTTTGACGCAATTCATCTGTACTGCAACCAGATACTTCACCACTCCACCAACAGAGAGTAAAAAAGCTGAACAAGATGATCTACTGAAGAAGATTCTGAGTGGATCTTTGACATTTCATTTTTGGAACAGCATGACTTTTGCTATCACTCCTGAGCCAGAGAGCCTCGTAAGCAGGCTTATTGACAACTCCTGTATCCACTGCTTGGATGTGTTATGAGTTCCCTGTAATTCCTCTGATCTGTTCTGAAATCGGTCAAGATAGGATTGAAAAGATATCGTTTTCAGAGCATTTCTTTTTAATTGACGAGCTGGATCGATATTGGAGATCTTAAATCATCTATGGAAACATGAGAAGCAGGCCCATACATTCAGTTGTACAGTTTCATACATTAATATGTGAGATTGTATTCGAAAGGATAATTATTCTTCATTCATTGAGGTCAGAAGATCAATCGTTTGCCGAATCTGGGCTAACAATTTTGCAATTTGGTTGCCGAGAAGGCTAGTGTGAATCATGTGGCTAAATTTTTAAAAGAAATTGTAATTTATTTATTCATTTTGTTCTGTCGAGGCAATTATTTCAATTTCGTTTATTCAAGCTCTGTGCTGCACGCCATTGTCAATCTTTTCCAGTTTACAGAACGGTGTCTTAAACAAGTGACAGTTTTCTACATATACGTTGCGTACACTAAAGGTAACTATAAAACTAATATGACTAAACGAAGCAAAACATCAAATCCCTTCTTTTTTTCACTGCGATATCATAGAAAATTATGCACAATAACAACTCTATTACCTTTCTAATCCATGGCATTAGGCCCATAACATTTTCTTTTTAAAGGGTTCCATATCCATTGAACCAAGAACTTCCTTTTGTTCACTCCATTCACATTGAAACCATTGCCCCAATAATCCTTGTACACTTTTCCCACATACCCACCTCCAGCTCCAGAGCCATACACACCCAAACACAAATCTGCAATTTCATTTGGTGCAGTTGGATCATCTCCTGCGTACCATGCATTCACCAAAGGGTTGCTTGACACCTCCGCGAGCTCATGAGCAATCACACTAATCATCCCATCGGCGCCCACATCGCCATTTGGCGCATGCATCATGTTGCTGTCTCCTTTTGTTCGCGGCGGCGGCTTTCCTGAGTAGTTTGGCCATGCAAATGGATATGCGCACATTCCTGGACACTGACTCCCGCTATAACCAACCCAGGCGTAAGGCACAGTGACGCCAACAATGGTTGGAAATGTGAAGTAGTGAAACCCGCAAACCGCTCTGCAAAAATCCTGAACTTGAACATCATAAGAGGTTAGGATTAAGTAGAGACCATTGTGGGGATTGAGAGGTAATGCTCTTGAAGGTGAAGTGACAGCGTTTTTGATGATCTTTTGCATATCTAAACGACTAAGATAACCACCGTGGGAGTATCTAGAGTCATAAAATTCCCCTGAAAGGAAAATATTTCCTGTAATGTTTGAGTCCGTTTGGTCAGTGTAAAGCCTGGCGGTTTTCCACCAATCAGCAACAGAAGGATAAGGAACTGAAGAGCTAGAGATTGAATGGATAAAGTCTCTGATAATGGTTTGCTGGGTTGGTTTCCAACGGCCATACCAGATTATATAAAGGTTTACAGGAGAAGCAAGGACAGGCCCCATGTGGTATTCAAGATTGACAAGGTCAGAAGAACCTTCATAATTCTTTGCCTGGTTGAATAATCTCTTGTTTTGGCTCCATGAAAAGGCCAAGGAAGAAGCACAAAAGAGAGAAAGCAAGAGAAAATAATAAAAAGCTTGAAGCTTGTACATTTTGTGTTAAGATGAATGAATGACAGTTAGAGAAAGTTCTTATTTAATATATAGAGAGAAGAAGAAGAAGAAGGCGGTTGAATAAGTAAGGTAGAGGGTGGTTGAAGATTCTTGTAGATTAATTGATATTCTTATTATGAATTGGTTGTGGTGGTGGGCAGTGGTTTGCATATGTTTACACATAATTCAATTGTCCGTCTTTATCTACTTTTTAATGATAACAATGATTCTCCCCTTTTGTTTTTTTACTTTTTGATTCCAATCAATATATATATTAGATTATAAAGAAGTTTTTGGGATTAGCTATTGTATATACTTTGTATTTTGTGCCAACCCTTTTAACAACCAATTGTCAAAAGCATATAGGGATCACCACATTGCCTATTTCTTATTTCTCATAAGAGGTTCTTATTCTCCTCTCCCTATGCCACATTGCCACCTATATATTCCTCCATTGGCATTGGGTTAATTCAAATGGTCTTTCTTACATATTATTCTAACAATTGATTCCAATCAATTATAATATTAGTATTTGATTGTGTTTCTTTGATATTAATCTAACTATGATTCCATTGAGATATAATATTAGGATCAATTTGATCGTATTTCTTAAATATTATGTTGGAAAATTTCCTAATTATGGATTAACATTAATTGTACTTTGGTTTTATAAAACAGAGTAAATGCATAATCCTATGAGATACTATTATTGTGATTAATATAATCATAAATGGTAGCTCAATACATTTCATTATGGAATAATCTAGGTTGACGGTAAAAATGTGTTTTTTTGGGTTATTAGGCCCGTATTTTATGGTCCACTCCTTGAAACGAATTACGTACGCTTTACTTATTTTAAATCCGTCATTGAGAGCAATTTCTAGAAAGTAAAATCAGTAAAGGATTAAGCAATTCTTACATACATTATGATGCAAATATGGGGGTGTTTGTCTAAGCCTATAAGCTGGTCAAACTAGCTTATAAGCTCTAAAATTAAGCTGACATGTTTGTTTATAACTTTTTTTAACTTATAAGCCAAAAAAAAAAAGTTACTTTTTTTTTTTTTTTTTGGCTTATAAACACTCTGCTTATAAGCTAATTTGATCAAGTATATTAACATATTATCCTTGTTTAATTTTAAAATTCCATAGTATATCTTTGTTTAATGTAGTACCATTTTTAATCATTTTATCATAAAATGTACTTATAAGTCACATTTTACTAAACACGTCAACTACTTATTAGTCACTTATAAATACTTTAACCAAACACGTAATTGCTTAAAATTTCAAATGCTTATAAGCACTTGTTGTTTATAAGCTAATTTTCATAAGTTCAGTTGCATATTTGGTAGCATGAATATTATTGAAAGCATGTTTGTTTTCTTTTCTTTGATGATTATTGAGTTTATTTTTTCTGATATTTTCTTTACTCGTGGACGAGCAAAGGATTAAATTTAGGGGAGTTGATAAGTTGCATAATTTAAGTGTTTTTAGGGTTGTTTTGATGATAGTTTAGTTAACTTCTCATTTGTTTCCTTTGTTTTGATGTTTGTTTTTGTTAAATTTGAGATATTAATGGTTTACCTATTGATTTGGATAACTTTTATGTTTTTTTTAGGTTTCCTAAAATCCTAAATTTGTTAATTTAGTGTTTTATTATCTATATGTAATCCAGTAATTATTTGAGTGTTGAATTTCCGCATTTTCTAACACACCAATCTTAAGATATATTTAGAAGAAAAAAAAAAAAAAAAAAAAAGGGAATTGACCAAAGCATGATAATTAGAATAAAGGAGATAGATTAAAAAGTAAACGATGAGAGAGTAAAAGGAAGTCAGAAATAAATGATGGGTGGTACCCTTAATAAAAGCAAGCATGTGATACCTTTTCTAAAATTTCTACCTTTTACACTACACATTTCTTCCCTTTCAATATCTTTGACTATCAATGTCTCTTTACCCACAAATCTTGCCTTAAACATTCTCTCATGTAATTTGCTTAGGGCACAAGTCAAGTGCCAACATGTGCAATATTAGAGAGAACATTAGGTAACTTGCACCATTGTTGAAAATTAGCTCCATCGATGATGTTATCGTATCAATTTCTATGTAAATTTAACAATATTCGTTTGTTATAATATTATCGAGACTGGTCTTGATAAAGAAATGAGGATTGTAAGATCTAATTCTAGCCTTAAACTTAGAAAATATCTATGCTATCATTAATGGTTGTATTAGTCTTTAATTCTTTATTAATTGTGACTAAAATATCTTGCAATCATGTGAAGTAAAGAAGGGCATGTGAGAGTTAAAGCATCTTCAATGCCCATACCTTAAAAATAGGAGGGGAATTGAATTTTAAATAAAAAAAAGGCTTTGAAGAAGGGATCTGGATCTTCCATACCCACCAATCATCTACTTAAAAAGCGACATAAACTCATGGTGCCAAGAGTTGCCCTAATTATGGGGGCAAATTGGAGGGAAAGAACCAAGTCAAAGGAGAAATAAAGAAAGAGTATTTAATAGGTAGATTTGTTATGTTGTTCAATAATATTATCGAGTCAGTAATAATTATTATCGGATCCCACAATGCCGTAATGGTTGTTGATGTTCTTTATTATTAGCGAGATTTAATGGTCGGTACTATTATGAAACCAACACAATAATTAATCTTGCCCGTTCAAATTCCATTTTCAATTTGTTTGAGATAAAGAAGACATTAATTGACTTCAAATAGTTGGGATACAAGGTTAGCACAGACAAGTAGTTCCCGTGATATCAATAATTTAGCAATTAATCAAGAGGAGGAAAAGATCTAGTAAAAGATTTTGTTGATGTTTTAGTATCTTTTGACAATACAGCACATTTGAGAATAGTGATAGCAGTCCTCACAGAATTGGAAGGAGGCACCAAACAGCTGGAAAAGCCTGCATAGTGTTTGCCCCCATAGCAGATAAATATTTAACTCACTCATGAAATATAGGGTCTGTTTGTTTTGTTATTTTGGATAAGATTTTAGGAATAATATTGGATACTTGAATAGGGTGAGTATTACGAGGTAAAATTTAAAAATTCACAAAAAAACCCCTTAAGTTTGCTAATTTACTAAACACCCCAATATATAAAAAATTTATAAAATGACAAAAACACCCCCATCCACCCACAATGCCAGATTCCAACCACCACCACCGAAATCTGGTTGAAAAATAGCGTTACGATGCAGACCGGTCGGATCTGACCGGTTGTGCGTCGATATGACCTTTTCCGGCCAGATCCACCACTAATCTGGCTGGAAAAGGCCAGATCTAGCCTTCGACGGCAACAAAAGGTGAGATTTGGTCGTCAGAGACGGCCAAAGATATGGTCGTTGTTGTCAGTCAACGATAGCCATTTCTTTGGTCGTCACTAACGGCCAGATCGGTAAATTACCTACCTTTTCCGGTCGTCTCTGTGCCATTGTGACATACTTCGGCAATCATGGGTGGGTGAGAATGTTTTTGTTAATTTTTAAACTTTTTTTTTTCTAAGGGGTGTTTAATTAAATTAATAAATTTAAGGGATTTAAAAGTAATTAAAAAATAGAATAGTATTTCTCAAATAATAAAACAAACAAGTATTTTAGGAATAGAAGGGGAATATGGATAGGGATAACAAAAACAAACAAGATATCAATCAATTTGTGATTTCTGACTGTACTCTTACACCTATTAACCATATGTGATGAAATTTTATTGATTTGATCGGATGAATGGCGTGATATGATAAATTATACGTTGTACA